GAAGACACAAAAACAAATGCAGATGTACTCAGCTACCTCATCTTCGACAAAGGAGCTCACCATCCTCAGTGGAGGAAAGATAGCCTCTTTAATAAATGGTGTTGGAAAAACTGGATATCAACCTGTCACAGATTAAAATTAGACCCTTATCTTTCGCCATGCACTAAATTAAAATCCAAATGGATTAAAGATCTAAATATTAAAACAGAAACATTAAACTTGCTGGAAAGTAAGTTAGGCAGAACTCTGGAAGACATTGGTATAGGAAAAGACTTTATGAACAAATCCTCAGTAGCATGGGAACTAGCAGAAAGAATCAACAACTGGGATCTCATCTTACTAAAAAGCTTCTGTACTTCAAAAGATATTCCATATTCTTAATCCTATTGGCATCTGGGAAAATGAAAAGAACAAGTGAATAAGGGTTGACTAAATCATGTTTACCTTACCTTTAGTATTTGAGGAGGAATTTAGAAGGAGCTACTTGAAAGACTTTTAATGTACACAGACTGTTTCTCTGCCCTACCCTGTCTTTGATTCAGTAGAGCTAGGATGGGCCTTGTGAATCTGCTTTTTTAACAGGTTACCAAGTGCTGCTAATATGTAGTCTAATGATCAAGGGACTATATCTTGAAAAACACTGCAGTGGGGAAAAGAAGAAAACATGTAGATGTGGGTGCAGGTATGGAAAAATTTGTTTGCCAGATAATTTATAGGCATTATAACAAGAAAATACTTATGTTTTTGACCACTGGTTCTGAAAATGATCTAAAAGTTTGAGCAAGGTTTTAGACAAAAGTTATGACTCCTTTATAAGTAGCAGGTTACAAATAGAAATGTATTAGGATAAGGAGGGTATGAATACTGATTTGAATAAAGGCATTGATTTTTTCCAGTTTTAACTAGATTTATTTGCTGACTTATGAAAAGTTAAGTAGGTTGTCAAATCAAAATAGTACTCCTTTAGTTGAGTTCTTATTAAGTTCAGGTTTCAAGTGCATTATGAGGATTATCTCATTTATTCTTAACAAGAACTCCATGAGGTAAGTACTATTACTGTCCCTGTTTTGCAGATTGGTAAACTGGGCTTAAAAGGATAAAAAAATTGCCTATTGCTATGTAATATTGATGAAGTTGTCCCCTTAGCCTTGAAGTTGTATGGTCTCTTAAACTTCAGGGCCTACTCAGGCTAGAGAGTATAAGATGCAGTCAGTGTGGTATCTGGTTGTGAGACTACCTTGTGTCAGCTCTTATGGAAATAGTAAGACGAACAATTGCAAACTTACCTTGCTCCTGTTTTCACTGGAGCTTTGCCACATGGAATAAGAAACTTTTGCACATAGACAGTCCAAAGCAAAGTCAATAAGAATACAAAAAAAGCCCTGTAGCTTGAAGGTCAAACCTAAAGCAGTTTTTCAGCATTTGGGGTTTTTGCCTGAATTGGGCTATTGTGAACAATAATAACCTTTACTTTTTGAAAAGAGGAGCAAGGAAGCATGTAACTCTTTTTAGATTTCCCACAACAATGTTTTATAAAGTCCAGCTTATGATTTTCCACTCAGATTTCTAATTCTGCCTTATAAAGCATGAAAGTAATTAAGTCCCCCTGTGGTGCTAATTGACAAAATTGCTGACCTCATTAATTTAATCAAAAGATGTTTTGTCCACACTTACTATGTTTCAGATACTGTTTTCAGAGCCTGATGCAGGAATGTACAAAACAAAGCCCTTCTGTTCAAGTAGCCTATATTCTACTAAGGGGAGACAGATATTAACTGATTAAATAAACATACTACATTAGGAGAAATAAGTGCTATGAAGAAAATTAAAACAGTATTGGCAGAAGGCACTGGGATAGAACAATGCTCTGCAGAGATAGCTACATTCTAATTCCTGGAACCTGTGAATATGTAATATATGGCAGGGGGAAATTATGGTTGCACATAGAATTAAGGGTGTTAACTGTCCTTAACAACATTATCCTGGATTATTCTAGGAACCCAATATAATCAAAAGGGTGTGTGTGTGTGTGTGTGTGTGTGTGTGTGTGGTCAAGGAAGAAAGGAAAGTCAGTGTCAGAGTGACTGGCAAGAAAGGCTCAACTCATTGCTCTTGGCTTTGAAGATGAAAGCAGGGGGCTATGAGCTAAGAAATGTGAGCAGCTGCTAGAAACTGGAAAAGGAAAAGAGAGATTCTCTCTTATACCTTCAAGAAGCAAACAGAACACTTCTGTTACTTGGAGTTTAGCCCAGTGAAACCCATGTAAGACTTCTGACCTCTAAAATTATAAGATAATTTTTTATTGATTTAAATCACTAAATTTGTGGTAATTTGTTAGAGCAGCAATAGGAAACTGTATTAGGGTTCACCAGAAAAACAGAATCAATAGGCTCTGTGTGTGTCTGCATAAAGATTTACTTTTAAAGAATTGGCTCACAGGATTGTAGAGGATGCAGAGTCTCAAGAACTGCAGTTGGTAAGCTGGAGACCCAGGAGAGCCAGTGGTATTCTTATCTTGAGTCTGAAGACCAGAATAGCAAAAGACCTGAGGGTGTATGTTCCAGTTCAAAAGCTTGCAGACCCAAGATCAAGAAGTACCAGTGTTCCAGTTTA